TATCTATCTATCTGTCTGTCTATCTATCTATCTGCCTATCTATCTATCCATCCATCTATCTATCTATCTATCTACCAATCTATCTATCTATCTATCTATCTATCTGTCTATCTATCTGTCTGTCTCTCTACCAATCTCTCTATCTATAAATCTATCTATCTATCTATCTATCTATCTGTCTATCTGTCTGTCTGTCCATCTATCTATCTATCTATCTATCTATCTATCTATCTATCTATCTATTTATCTATCATCACTCCAATGTCTGTTGAATTAAGGAGAGAGACATTTTGTCAGTCAAAAAAAAAGAAATCCATTAAATACCTATTTGTCACTATCTAGTTGATCTTGCTATCCTTTATCATATCATAATCTATCATCACTCCAGTGTCTGTTGAATTTAGGTGAAATTTTGTCAGTATGTCAAAGTAAAGAACACAAATCTATATATTACCTGTGCTTGCTTATGTTACATTTGTGTTCTTCACTCATTTATCACTATCCACCCAGTTTTGGAATTGTAGTGTTAGGGGTTGAGGTAAACTAAATTTAGGTTGTGTAGGTTGTACCAGCCAGAAGTCAAAACAGGTCATAAAGGTTCCTGCCTGTAAACTACAGAGTTATGTAAAAGGTAATATTATTACTGCATCACATTGGAAGATAATGGTATCATGTGTAATGATGAAATCCACCCTCAAGCCCTTCATCATGGACTCTAAATAATGATTAATCTAATCACTCCGTCTCATAAAATGTCAGAAAGATGAAATCTGTTGTTTACAGTATTTTTTTTATCACACTGTTGTTTGTTCAATAGTAACTCGGGTTTCTATTAGTAAGTTGATGCTATATTGAGATGAAACATGATTGACAGCTGAGCCTGACCGGCGAGTGGTTGAGCGTGTTTAAAGACGGGGACCTCACTACCTCGGCTCCATCCCCTGACTCTGGTTCCAAATGTGCGAGTTGGCTGTGTTCGTATACATGATGGATTGGCTTCATTCCTGGATAGTGGGTGGGGAAAAATACAATATGGTTTCTATCACTAAAATTGAGCTATTCCTTGGAAGCTACTCTCTCCACCTGATGTCTTGCCTTTGTTAATCCCAGACAATCAAGTTATCATACTGGAAGTTAATGTCACCATGGACGACAATGAAAGCCATGCTCAAGTTTGCCTGGTCTGAATATTTGTATATTTTTAAAAAACATGTAAAAACAATTGTCCATGTTAATTAAACTTCTTTTACTTAAATTCAAGGTGCAAGAACAGTAATTGCACTCACCATGTTTAGGTTGGAATAACTTGACAAAGTTAAGTAAAAATGTACGTATAAGTAAACTGAATTTAAGTCCAATAGTTATATTTCCTGGCCTTTTTATTGTACGTCGGTTGTATGTATTTTAAGTAAGATCAACTTCACACATTTTAGTGTAGCCATCTTATGTGGAGCATCCCTGGGTAATTAATAATTTATTTGCCTGTTGTGGGATTTAGACAAAGATTATCACTTTGAGTTACTCTTTAAAAGGTTTTACAGCCCTGGTATGTCTCATATTCAGTGGTATACAGTCATTGTTTAGTCCCAGTAGTTAAGTGCTGTGTCAGTTTCATGTAGCATCGTAGGAGGTGAGCTACTGTAACACTGGTCACATAAGACTACCCAGTAAGAATGGGTTTGTCCATGATTACTTATGTTGGTCATTTTGAGTTCAAATTGAAGTCTAATGTACGGATTGGGCTGTAAAACTGTCTTTGGTTCAAAGCCATTTGAGACTGGCTCAGAGAGAGCCACATGCAAGGGATCCCTCTCCTCTTCTCGAATATTAAATATCTGTCATCAGAGAAACATTCTCAGTACAGCTCACAAACAGCACAACAGAAGCATTTACAGACGGGGGGGAGCAGATAACAAGTCAAGGTCACCACAAGTCATGTCAGGGTTGTTTATTATCTCCTTCAGAGAGGACCCGTATCTTATCCAAATGCCAAGGTCAGGATGGCACCTCCTGAAACATAATATTAAACTCCTAATCTAAAACATTCCAGTTCCTTCAGACCTCTCACATCAACCACTTTTTGGACAAAACTTAGGTCAGCCATGATACACAATGTGAAGGTCTTAAAAGATGCATTAACTTAATAAAAATTCCTTCAGGTCCAAATTCAGTGGCTGGTAAAGGTGAGTTTTACTCACTGCACAGTGGAGACTGTCACACAGAACAGTTTTCTGTCTGATGGTCAACATTCACAATGACTCTAAAAACAGTCGGCTGTGGATGAGCCAAACAAAGGGTCTGCATGAGAACAAAAGATGAATACAACTTAAGGAGTCCTGGACAGTCTAATTTACAATACAAAGTGCTTCTTAGTATTACATTAAGGCAAATCTACAACAATCGGATTTAGCTCAACAAATGGTCTGCACAAGAACAAAGGGGTGAATACACCCTAAGAAGTCCTGGGCAGGGTAATTTACTATACTAAGGACTTCTATCTGCCACTGACTGGTTTGGTCAGCCCATTCATTCCCTCTCCTAACAAGACATCTCTGTCTGCATCAGCAGAGTTCAGTTAAATTGAATACAGATGTAAGAAAGTCTTTTGGCAGCTTCCTGGGAAAATTATGTAAAACTGTGTCTGAGCACAGTCCTTAGTGTCATGTGGAGGGAGAGGAAACTTGATCTTGCTGTGTTAAGTAAATATCAACAGAAGACAATTGAAATGAAATATTTTCTTCTACAGTTCTTATAATGTTTGTGAGGATAAGTCAGTGTCATTGAAGGGCTGCACAATGTGTTTTCAGACAATCATGGCAGTGAATGTCCCAGGACTGGTGGCTGTGTTGGTTTTTTACATGGTCATCCTGGTCATTGGGGTCTGGGCATCTCGAAAATCCAAGAAAGAGGAGAAGACATGTACTGGAAGCAAGAGCGAAGTCACCATCGTGGGTGGCCGCAACATCAATGTCGTTGTTGGGATTTTCACCATGACAGGTTGAAGCCTTCTCTTCATTTCCATCATCAAATAACAATACTAGACTAGTTTTTCCGTCTTTGTGTGGGTTCTATGTTCCTTTCTCTGTGTTCTGTTCCTCAAGTCCTCCCTTACTTTCTATGCTTTCTTTGCTTTCAGCAACATGGGTTGGCGGAGGTTATATCATGGGAACCGCTGAAGCTGTTTATGTTCCCACCCGTGGTCTCATTTGGGCTCTGGGGCCGCCTGCACATCTTCTCGGATTTCTTTTGGGTGAGTAGCTGAGATGCCCTGGTGTTGTGTTTTCAGCCCCACAATGTGAGATCCTTCACATGTGTTCTGCTGATATTCAACAATGGTTTAGTAATGAAGACACCAGAAGTCATGTAGAGACGGTTTAAAAGTGCATAAATTCTTATAAATGAATGTTTGTACAGTTGATAAAATCTCAATAGCGAGTGCAATGATATGTTGACATTGAACTGAAATTGCAGAGATGTGTCTGAAAATGTGCAGAGAACCGAAGGCTGTTCAACGCTGAAAGTTAAGTTTCATGCTGAAACAACAGCACATGAGGCAGATCGTGTTTTGCTATTCTTACTGAGATACATCAGCCTTTGTTATGCTACATTCAGCAGAAGTGCATCTAAAGCAGAGAACAGGATTTCATTATTTTACATTTTTTACCTCAATGGTGTTGTGTGGCTTTCACATATCCCAGCATGCACTAGACTAGGACACATTTAGATTATTTTGCTGTTGCAATCAAATACAGGTTAAACTCAATGCTTACCTTAAAGTGTGTTGTCCTTTTCAAATTCATTTCCTCTAAGATATTTTGTCTTTATTTATGATGTAAAAGAGAGAAGCATCAGTTGCATAAACTACAGAGCAGTACAAACTATAATCATTATTAATGACTAACTGACAGTGCTTTTTATCTTTTCATCTTTTCATTCCAGCCAATGCAAGGTTTACAATCTACAAGGCATAGAATGTACATCATGTTAACAGAAGCACATTCAACAACATTCATTTTTATTGAATTAAAAGGTGTATGTGAAAAACAATACCAACACAAAGAGCTTTGCTTTTCTTGCATAAGAGAAATAATATTCTTGTGGGGTATTAGACATAAACTTATGCCTGTGACCCTCTTATCAAAGACTATGTTTAGCAGGTGAAGTCTGCATATTTGGAATTTTCCTATCTCAGATTCCCAGGTTGTTGACCAGTCCTGGCCTACAGACACTCAGATGTCTCGCTTTGTCCAATCAACTGCTCAAATTCCAAAGTGATTAATTTTTTTGTCATAGAAGATTGAAGAAAAACAGAAAATAGTCACATTAGTTAATCTAGAACCATTGAATTATTGCTGTTCTTGCTTGAAAAATATTTGCCATAAAGATTTCTAGAATTAATGGATTACACTTTTTTTTTGCTTAAATTTAAAATCATGTCATTGTTTTTTTAATGACACAACAGTTGTTTTGTTTCCTTTGTGCACATCTTAAGCGGGACTGTTCTTTGCCAAACCTATGAGGTCAAAATTCTACGTGACTATGTTGGACCCATTCCAGTATCGCTATGGCAACATGTTCACCGCAATGCTACTGCTTCCTGCACTGATCAGTGATATTTTGTGGGTTGCCTGCATCCTTTCTGCTCTGGGTAGGTACCTCTTTTTATGCAAGTCTTTGTGCCTTTAAATGAAAACAGTGGTTCTGTCATCAGTCCATCACATTACACGTGTGTTCACCTCTGGTTTATTTTCTGTGTGATATCCAGGAGGAACGATGAGCATGATTCTCGGGTTGTCGTCAGCCCTATCTATTGTTATCTCGGCTGCTGTCTCCATCATCTATACAGTATTAGGGGGTCTGTACTCTGTTGCATATACTGATGTCATCCAGTTTTGCTTCATCTTTGTCAGCATGGTGAGAAACAGAGGGAGTGTATTGAAGTAGGGAGTGACAGAAATGACTGAGGGGAGAGAGGGTGGAGGGACGACAACATTAAGAAATTTTAGTAAGTCAATTGATGGCTTTTGCGTTAACTACTGTTTTTGTTTCTCTTTCAGTGGCTCTGTGTTCCCTTTATGTTCCTCAGTCCTGCAGTTACTGACCTCTCACCAACACTCCACGTCAACCAAACAAGTGGGAACTCATGGCTAGGAGAGATGGAGCTGGCAGACGCAGGAATATGGGCAGATGAGTTTCTATTAGTGGTGAGATTTTAACTGATTTTTGTGAGAGTCAGATGACTGGCTTACAAAAGCTGCAGGACCAGTGACATTGCCTGTGTCCAAAACAAACTGAGCAGACTGTTTGAACTAAGCAGAGCTAACTTTTACGACAACAGGTTTCTCTTTTTTTCTTTTTCTGAACGATGCTGCCATTGGTTAAAACAACAAAGGTCAGAAGGACATCCTATCAGCTGTTATTAATTAAACTTAGCTGCTGGCGGTTCAAGTTTTGAGGTTTCTGCACGTCTGCGACACTACTTTGCAAAGATAGCTTGTGGGAGAGGAACCACCACTCTGTTATGTTACTGTACAACCACAAGTGCACTGAAGAGTGTCCACAGTTCCGAAAATTCCTACAGAGGGAGACATCCTCTTTTTTCTAGTCACATCAGTGGAGGCAGTCTCTCAACTGAACTTTGAGTCATATCATATCAGTAATTTACATTTAAAACTTTAGATTTTTGAACTATGACATTCATGCTCCTTAGATATATCATCTCACACATGCGACCACAGTGTGTATTTGTACCTTGGGTTTTCTCACACATTCATGGAAAACGCTGGAAGAAAATGTTGCAGAGAAAAGACATGTTGTCTCCTGACTCAGGCAACTTTATCTGATTTGAGAGGGGGCCCCCCTAAGAATGGCTGATAACATTAATAAACCACAGTAATGACATTTTTGTGAGAACCCCCTTAAATGACCTATGGTCGGCTTTATACAGGAGCCTGCAATGATACCAGAGTCCCTAACAAGGCCCCATGCCACTAATTTTCCACCAAAAGCTTTGAAAGGTTTGGCTCCATGTAGGGGCCCCAAAGTCCCTCCAAACACTCCTACCTCCAGAGTCTTACTTACTTAGGATATTTTGATTTGGCATAGTAGAAAAAGCAAGAGTGTATCTAATGAACAACAACAATGGCTCAGTTCTATTGTAGTAAAGTGTTCCCATGATCCATGAGGACCACCAACAAGAGCACCCTGAAACTCAGCCATCAAACTTATGTATAATGTCCATAAACATCCATTACAACCTCCGACCAGGGAGGTCATGTTTTCACCCCTGTCCATTTGTGTGTTTGAACAAGATTACACAAAAACAACTGAATGCATTACCTTGAACACTTGGTGGAAGGATGCTGTATGGGTCAGGGAGGAGTTTATTCCCATGTCTTTAATATTATGAAGGGCGTTTGTCAAAATTTTCACCATTTTCCCAGGGAATAGTTAATGAATCTTGATGAACAAAATCCGGCACATTTAGAGGACGAGTTTGCAAAATGTGGTGCAGTGTGATTGAATTTAAGAGGATTGTTGGACCTTGGCAGAGGAATGTGCTGAACTTAGCTCTAGTTCATATTATTAGATAAATCCTTTTGACCAGTCAAATTGTCCTCTGTGAGAAAGGACGTTTTGCTGAACTGCATGAATTGCAAAGTTGTTCACTGACAAAGCTTGTTTGTGTTTTTTGTTATTCTGTATGTTACAGACTGTGGGCGGACTGGCCTATCAATCTCTGTACCAGAGGATCCTCTCTGCTGCCTCCTCTGCTCAGGCTCAGATCACCTGCTTTGCTGCTGCTGGGACAGTTTTCATAATGGGAGTGCCCTCAGCAATCATAGGAGCAGTGGCGGCCTCTGCAGGTACACATGAACATCAACAGCATGCACAGTACATTCATATACAGCGTACGTTCAATTAGACAGCATGTCCTAACAGTTAGGTCCCACTGCTATGATAAATGACTGCATTTGTATGTGTGTGTATGCCTGTGAAATTTTGCTTCCTTTTCCCCAGTTTTTATTTTCCTTTTTTGCACTATCACTATACCTCTCCCCCTTTCCTTTTCTCTAAGACTGGAACCAGACTGCGTATGGTCTACCCCCTCCTTTCGAACGAGGGGAGGCAGTGAAGATCCTGCCACTGGCCCTGCAATATCTCACACCCAGCTGGGTATCTGTGTTAGGCATTGGTTCTGTGGCTGCAGCAGTCATGTCCTCAATGGACTCAGTGCTGCTGTCCTCAGCATCAATGTTTACACAAAACATTTACAAGACAACTTTGAGAAAGCAGGTGTGTGCATGTGTCTGTGAGTGTGTGTGTTTGATACAGTTCTAAGGCAAAGTAACTAAGTTTGTATTGTTGCTCTCTCTGCAGGCGTCAGAGCGGGAGCTGCAGTGGGTGATCCGTGGTAGCGTGGTGCTGGTGGGCCTGGCAGGAACAGGCCTGGCCTTTGGTGATGACAGCGTTTTTGCCCTCTGGCTGATGAGTGGAGACCTGCTCTACTGCATCGTCTTCCCACAGCTTGCCTGCGTGCTGCACTTCCGCCACGCTAATACCTACGGTGCTATCACAGGCTACATAGTTGGGATGCTGCTGCGTGTGCTGGGCGGGGAACCAGTCCTCGGAATCCCTCCTGTTCTCCTGTATCCTGGCTGGAGGGAGGAGGATGGAGTTATCAAACAGCACTTTCCCTTCAGAACCCTGGCCATGCTTTCTTCTGTGATATGTGTTGTTACCGTGTCCTGGCTGCTGGAGCTCTGCTTCTGTCACCAGCTCATTCCTCGGTCCTGGGATTTACTGGGGGTTTTTAAAGAGAATGAGGAAGAAGGAGAAGTGCAGGAAGAACCTCTTCCTCTGGAGGAAAAGAACAAAATTCTTAATACAAAATTGTAAGCTTCACTTCAGAACAACTTCAGCCAAAGTATCCACAAACCTCTTTTTATACAAATACCTACCGCCCATGTATACCACATCTGTTTGATACTGCTATATTTAAGAAAATATTTGTATATATACAGTATTATCTCAAAGCAATGCCATACACGATGTAAGTGTCCTTGCAAATTCAGATGCAGTTGGCATTCTTCTATCAAGCATACATTATGACCTCCTCCAAGGATGTTGTGTTTTCACCCTGATTGTTTGTAATCAACATACACAAAAACAACTGAATAGATCAGTGGAACTTTGTGGAAGGATGTGGTGTGAGTCAGTGAAGAACCCATCAAATTGTTGATCTGGATCAGGGGATGGATCCAATAATTTTTACAATTATCTTTGACATTGCAAGATGAGAGGCATCTTTTAACATTTTTACCTTTGTCCCAGGGAATAATTCATGGATCTCTAAGAAAACATCAGGGAACATTAAGGGAACTGAAATCTATAAGTGTCTAGGTCTAGCTTGATTGAATACAAGGAGACTAGACAAGGTATTGTTAGGTCAGTTAATGGTACATAAGTGTTACTCAGAAAAAAATTGTCCAGCAGAAGTGTTCTCTATTACATTTTTTTAAAGGGATCATCATTACAGGACCATTGAGATATACAATTATGCTTTTTTATGTTTTGTAATCACCAGTGTTCATTAAAAAAAAGATATGTGTCTGATATTTGAATCTGTATCTTTGTGAGTGAAGGAGTGAAAGTACAAAAAGGTACTTGTGTAAATGTTTATATTTAGATGACTGTGTCTATAGTAGAGGGCGACAACTTTTGCTGCTATACCTAAAAGACACATGCAGCAACCCCTAAAAATCTTGGGAGTTGGTCTTCTTTCATGAAGTGTACTTCCATGTTGGTACTGTAGCCCAGAACAGACACAAAACAAAGACAAGAAAAAAACCTCTAAGGAAAAGGGTCTTTCACGTTTTTACCTCACCTGAAGGCCACCATAGCTATATTCATTTTGTTGTAATATGTAACTTCACCGCTAGATGTCATTAAAGCCTACACGCTGAAGCTTTTGGATGGTGCACATTGAAATTAATCAAGTGAAGAGATAGAGCCAACTCTTCTCCCCAACGCTAAATACTGAGAAATCAACTTTGATCTAACTAATTAGAAGAACTGATAATCGTGTCATTTATAGCTCTGCTCCAAGATGAAAATCTATTCAGGGATCCACAGCAAAGTTAAGATCGATTTGCCTTTGATGAAGCTATATTGACAGTGAGTGATGGGCCTATCTACAGCTCTGGAAAAAAATAAGACACCTCTGCAAAATAACCAGTTTGTCTTGTTTTACTATGTATGGGTGTGTGTTCTTATGTTCTATAAATTACAAACAAAATCCAAATTCAACAGACACTGAAAGATAGATAGATGGTAGATGTATAGATCGATAGATACAGTAGATGGATGAATGGATAGACAGAAAGATAGACAGACAAACAGACAGACAGACAGACAGACAGATAGATAGATAGATAGACAGACAAACAGACAGACAGACAGACAGACAGATAGATAGA